CTCTCTCTCTCTCTCTGCCCTATCTAATGATTCTCCATTCTTGACGTCGAGGCAGCTGCCGGTGACAAGACGTAGCTTCGTTTCCAAAAGTAGAACAAACGTTGCTTTCCAGTGTGTGACTTGTTCACTCTCGGAGTGGCGTGGCGTTAAAATTACGATAACAGCGTGCATGGTAGCTCGCGGGAGGACGAACCAATGACGACAAGTTGGTTCGCGCGACCGTTGAATCGCGAATAATTCAGTCCAAGATAACGACCATATCTTCGCCACGTACTGCCCTTTGCAGATGCGGCGGATGTAGAGGAGCTGATAGTCTACGCCATGGCTTACGTGCCGCTCTTCGTAACTCCGCTGAAGAGAGAGTCCTTCTGAGTCTTCTGCAATGAAGACAAGCCGGATTAACGAGCGAACACGTTTTCGCGCGGGAGGGACGCATCGCCCTGTATACAGTTCTATCTTTTCTCCGACGGTTACAATACTAACTTGATCTGCTCAGTAGCTCGAAAGTATACATCATCGGGAGCATCCATCCAGGAAATCACTTGTTTGCGTGCGTTACTTCGCGACAGTGGCGGGTGAGACGGCAAAGGATGTGGATGAGTGGCCCTGCCATTGAGAGGAGGTGCTAGAGGAAGCACTGCTGGTGTGGAGTGTTCCAACGCATGCTTTGGATGTAATTGCTGAGTAAGATGAGCTCTTTTCGCCGGAGGTCCGCCGCTGGGAAGTCCTGAGCTCAAGGCGAGACCTAGTCGCAAGAGAGAGTAAAAAAGCTTGCGTTATTAAAAAAAAAAAAGTGTTTGCATCGTGTTGGTACACTCCGTTTCATATGTAATCGTCTGAAATATATTAGCCTTAGACTAGTTATTTAACACGCGTCACATGCAATTAGTAACTTTATACTAAATTATATCATACATTTTTTTATGCTAAATTAATACCAAGTCATTAAGAACGATAGGCTTAATAAGATCGCTGGCTGTTGGTAGCTAAATTAATACTAAATATGCTCTTATACTAAATTATTCATCTTTTGTATTAAATTATCTTTATTTCGACAATGTGCAGATCACGATGTATTAAAGGCCGGTCTGCACTTTTCCACGGTTATTGCCGATTTACTCCTCTCATTTCATAGCATTTAGTTTTCTCTCTCGGAAATGTAACACACTTGATCACTCAGAGATGGTATAAAATATTAAGCAGCGCGTAGGGCAACATTCGCCAGACCTCATACGATTTCAAGCCATCCCTGTCGAGCTCGAGCGTCTCCGAGAGGAGTCTAGGTACGACAGTACTTTTGGTACAAGCATGCACGCACACACATACAAACAGCTGGCAGATTAAAAGTTGCAACAATTCTTTTCGACATGTTTCTCAACACATCTCATATCAAATAGAAAAATTTATTTTTTAACAATTCTCAGAAAATATATTTTCTTATTGGATACAAGATGCAAAGCTCATCGGAAAAGAAAACGTTACAATCTTTAATCTGCCGACTGTGTGTGTATATGCATTGTTTACATACATTGTCAAAATTAAAGTAGTCGGTTTATAAAAATATTGTGAGAAAGGTGACATAGCACGTGAAGAAGCTCGACAAATCTGTGCTAAATGCTTATAAACATGATTTGCGATATATAGAGCAGGCCACTTTTCCATAGATTTCACCGACTGCTATCCCTCTCGTTTCATAACATTTAGTAGGCTCATCTAGGAAACGTAAGACGCTCAATCTCGGAAATGGTATTAGCTAGAAATACGCCGAGCGTTGTTCACTGTCTAGAGTATTATTAACTTTATAATATATCGGTAATGATAATGATAAAACAATGACAACGCGCGGGGTAACACTCGCTAAATCCCCATATGATTCTCTAGTTAAGGTTCGTCGACTGCCTTTGCTTCTTAACGATGCGAGAAAACGCATACAAAGATTTTTGCGTTATACTTTCGAATAAAAAGATGTACCCACAAAATGACATTTGTGATCGATGCAGCAAACTTGTAAAATTGGACGAACACTTTCCTTTTATTCGAACAATCAATAAGTAGTCATAAAATTAACATTGATAAAATTATGAGGGAAAAGAAGTGTCAAATTAATTTTGCGATTGATTGTTCGAGTAAAACAAAAATGTTCGTCCAATTTTACAAATATGCTGATCACAAATGTCATATTGTGGATATATCTTTTTATTTGAAAGTATAACACAAGAAATCTTGGCATGCGTTTTCTCTTTTCTGACGTCATTAAACAAGGACAGACGATTAATCCAGAGCCTTAGTTATCTCAAATTCAGTATGGTCACAATCTCTTTAATTTTACATATGTGTAGATCATATTTCGACTAATATGCTGTTCAAATTCGAAGATTCTGGAAGAAAAATTTTTTAAATTAAGTTTTTTTAAAAATTTTATAGAAAGATATACAAACCCCAGCAACCTTAAGATAATTGAATACTGTTTGTTATTGTTCGCTACGCGTATTAAATAATTGGTATAAATAAGTGGCATTCCCGTAATCTATCAACGTGATATTCCGTTGACGACGCGTTTGTTTATTTGAGTTTGTGATTATCTGCGTGAGAAACCAATGTTAATTTATTCATTTTATTTGTCGTCATTCATAGTCCTTTCCGCTGTTTACCCACCGGCCGTTATAAGATGTGCTTTTCTCGAAGTTGCACGATAAGGATATTTTTTGATTACGGACGTATTCTACAAGACAAACTAGATTTCCGACTGTAAGATGAAATGAAAGAAGGCTACTCGTAAAAAAATAGGTGAACATCGAATTACAACGTGAATGCACCCTGAAGAAATTGTAAAATTAGCTTATAATTTTCACGACGATCATCGTCACTCACAATTTCATTGAACTCTCAATTTTACTGAACTCCTTTATCTTCATCCCAATCCACATCTGGGTAGAAGCCGGTAAGCAGAGGCAAAATTCAACATACAAAATACGAAATTTCGATACGATCCAGTGTATACGAGTGCGATGACAGTCTGATCGTGAAAACTTACCATCTGAACCATTCACTTCATCAAACGGTCTTGTACGCTTCATGATGGTTTGCTGCGTCGGCATGACGGGTTGTGGTTGCGGCGGAGTTATCGCGAGCCTATCTACTTCGGGCTTATTGGGAACCCTCTCATAAAGTAGACTACCATCTGTTGTAACAATGAAATTTCATATCAAGACAACCATCATACGGTACAAAAAAAAAATCGCAATTAACACGCACGCGGTCAAGGAATTGATTTGGAGAACTCTCTCCATAAACCACAGTTATTTCCGTATAGTTGTATAAGACAGATGTTTATATAGATTCGCACATGCATGACGTTGGTAGTGAACACGTAAGTATTCATGGTCGGATCTCATATATAAGACCGTCTTGAGTTCATCTTCAGATGTTGCACAGCTCATTTCATTGGCTATGAAGCATCTGAAGATGAAGACGATCTTAAAGATTCGACTACCAGCCTAAGGCGCCTCACCGCAATCATCTTGATTAATGAAAAGCGAGAAAATGTATGCTCAAAACTCTTATGGAACACGTTGAAATAAAAGGATATGTTCATAAAATATAATCGATTGAGTACATTTGTAAAATATTTGAAAAGTTTTCCTTTGATTTTAACAATCAATAAATAACCGTAAAATTAACGTGACAAAATCATGAGAGAAGCAAATGGGAAAATTACATACGTTAATTTTAAGATTATTTACCGATTGTTGGAACAAGAAGGGAAAGTTTTCGAAATATTTTACAAATATATCCAATCGATCAAAAGTGTTATTTCATATCCTTTTATTTTTCAATGTATTTCAATGTAAGATTTTCTGAAGGTTACGAAAGACAACTGCAGCATCGGGAGTCTCAAATTAAAAACTTGAAGTTTTTATGATGTGCAAGAATGCTCAATTCGGGTTGATGCCGCATGAGATTTCCAACATTCCGTGAACATTTCGATCCTCTTGTTCAGGAATCAGACTTGTTGTCCTGAAGAAAACTGAAATGTTCAGGAAACATCGGAAAGGACACCGACCCGAGAGACCAAGCTAGAATTGAAAAGGTGAGAGATCATACACATGCGTGATAATTAACGTGGTATTAAACGACTCATGTTCTGTGTACCAGGTGCCTTAGGCGGTCGAGGGAATGACACTCGCTCCGGTTGTTTACGCTGGCCTGGTGCGGTCAAAGCTAACCAGTCCCAATCACCGGGTTGCCGCGGAGATGGATGATCACCCAGCCGCGAGGCGATGTCGGCCACACGGGGACGTGGACGCGGCCGTACCGCCCGAGCCAAGAGCCGTAATTCGTTCGGACTCTTAGACGTCAGTTGCGTGCAAAGGTGTCTAAGTGGCGCTGCGTTCACCGGCTGATGGGGCGCCCGTGCAGCGTGACGTGTGCGTAGCTGGCTGGCGCATAGACGCCGTGAGGCCCGCGCGAGTATAGACGTGCGTAAGTAAAACGCGGATCTAGTCTTCATCACTGGCCGAGGAGATCCACCACCACCTCCGCCACTACCGGCGGGACCACGAAGGTCAAGCCCGTGTGCACTGGCGTAGTGACGGCTCAGATGAGCCTTGAGTTTAAATTCCTTCGTGCAGCCGGGAATGTTGCATCGGTGGGGTCGGTGCGCGCCACCGATGCCTTTGCTCTCCTCGTCTGACCCGGCGCCGGTGCGTTTTCTCTCGAGATCAACGTCATCCATTCGAGACGGCACCTGTTCAACCGTTGGAAGAGAAAACGAAAGCTGCGTTAGGAAGATCCTTCAGCAATTTTGAAGCTTCTTTCTCGTGATACGTCAATGTAAAGATTTAATGTTCAACGTTACTTAATTTTTCCCCTTCGCACCAATAAAAATAAACTAACCGAATCATAATGACGATGTGTTGTAATTCTTGCAAAGATCTCATGAAAACTTTAGCAAGTGTTACACAGCTTTAGTCTAATAACTATTGACGTTCCTGATTTCGAAATATATGTATATTTACAAAGTTGACTTGTGCGTTTATTTATTTGTCTGGGACGTGAGAAGTAATACGATTGAATGATTCGGTTGGAAATTCCAAGACTATATGTATTCCCAGAAGAATAAATGTAAATATCTGTAATAATACAGAATTTGTTTGTGTACTCGTTTGTTTCTTTGGAATTACAGGAACAAATGTGAACGAATGAATGAATCGTCTGGAAATCTCAAAATGTGTTTCCAGTAAAACATAAATACGTACATCAACTGTTCAAATTTCTGGAAAGTTGGCTCAAACCGATATTAAGACTGATATTCATTACTGTCATACTCATACTCATATAGTCTGAAAATCTACAGTATACGTAATACGTAAGCTACAAATTTTTAGTATTGGCAGTGAATTTCGCAGTCTAAATTTCAAATAAATAGACGAATACGCCTAGCAAATATATCAATAATCTACTCTCTCTCTCTCTCTCTCTCTCTCTCTCTCTCTCTCTCTCCTTCTCTCTCTTTTCAGACATATTTACTCTTCAATATAGGATGAATGAAGCAATATAACTATTATCTCGAATATCTTCGAAATATGAGAATAGGGGAAAAATTGATCTATCAAATTACACGGCAAAGAAACAGTCGTCTTATGGCGTCTTGACGTTTTTTTTTCTAGGTCGAGTAGCTTTATAGATCTGAAGGTTCCACTTTTTTTTTTAATAAAAATATTCAAGGTGGTCTTGCGTTGTATATTTAAAAATTAGAACAAGTTGTTAACTGCCGCATTGATTTCCGCTGATTGCATAAAAACTTAACCGATCGAATTACCAATAAGAAACAATACCGTTGTCTTTTAAACTGAACTAATACTGCACTACAATTTCGATCCTTTTCCTGTCAGCGCTATATTATATTTCGCCAAGGTGTTTCACTCGACAAAGTGCCACCTAGTTCAGTTGAAAGAACAAGACTTTATGTCCGTTTTTTACAATTGTACCAAGTCCTGCACGATCTCCAATAAAATAGATGTATATTCGATGGGAAAGAGAAAAAATTAGAAAGATTACAAGATAATCCAAAAAGTGCAGCTATAAATAACAGATCCTTTTTTTTCAACAAAAATTTCGACCGAATATCGAGGAATAAAAATGTAAAAGCCATCTCTCACTCATCTAGTACCTTGAGACCTCCGTATTTCTTCCAGTATGTCCAGCAGGATTGGCAAAGGCGGCACTGCATGTGCGAAGGACCCCATGCATACCATTGCGGGCTCTGTACTATCTGACAACTTTCGCATGGTTTGCCGCCGACACCGACCATTAGTATCCCGGAGTTTTCACCGGGCATGCTACCGTTGCTATTGCCATTCAGCACGTTGGTCGGCTTTCCGTTACTACTATTGTTGCTGTTGCCCAACGGTACGATCGTCGCAGAAGAAGGAACGGCGGTAGACGCGGGAGCTTTGTTGTAATTTGGTATATAAACTTGTTTCAGTTTGCTCTCTGCTTCAACCGCCTTTACTCTCTTTTGCTGAACGTAGCGATCGGTCGTCTTCCACATATAGTAGTACTCGATCACGTTCATCAACGTCTTCCACGGTAACTATAACAGACGTTAGAAAAAACATATACAAATCGTAAAAACATCAAAAGATCGAGACTTTAGAATATCCCGAAAAGTATAAGTTTGATAGAAAAGATATTTCAGATAAAAAAAAAACGCTTAAGAGGGTACAAGATCTATTTACCAATCTTCTCGTTGTTTGATTTGGAGTGGCAAGGTCAGGGCAAAGCCATCTTGAATTTTTTAAAATAAAACCCCCTATTTTTGATCGCATATTTTTGTAACTTCCTGTTGAAACCTTTTCAAAACACTATAATTTTATCCACTTTGGGACAGCCGTTTCATCCTGGATCATCCCCCAATCTTACTTTCATTGGCTAGATCATCCTTCAATCTTGCCTTCATTGGTTGGATTCATTCTCCGATTTTGTCTTCGCTGGCTGGATATTTTATCGTAAGAACCTCGATAACTCCGAAACGATCCAAAGTGGATAAAATTATAGTGTTTTAAAAAGGGACAATATGCAATAAAAAATAAAGGGTTTCATTTGGAAAATTCAAGACGTTTGATGGCGAAGCCATCCAAAGTTAAGATCAGTAAATAGATCTTTTAAATCTTACTACTTGCATCTGAAACATTTTTTTATAAAACTTATACTTTACAAAATATTCTGAGGTCTTGATTTTTTTTCATACACCTTGTTTATGTATGCATTAATAAAACCCGTCGAATGGTTTCATGCACGTTTGTTTGCAGTATGTGCGAAACGAGCGCTTACAAAGTCTGTTCGTATATCGGGGAAATCCTTCCCGTATTTCTCAAGCGCTTCCTCGAACAGGTTTGCCTCGGACGCGCTCCATTCTTCCATCTCGTCTCGACATAATACTGGGCCGGAGCTAGGTACCAGCGACGACATGGCCTTCGCTATGTCGTAGCTGTGCCGGTGTAAAGTATCCATCGCATGAAACTGCAAAACATACGCAAGATTTAATAAAGCTACAATTCCAACAATAGTCAACGCGTCGAAAGAAAATATTGCACGATGCAGGTGGAACGACATTTACCAGAGTGATGTCCCTGGAGGCCGCAGCCGCTGACATGTGTAATGAGGGCTGCTTGACGGAGGACGAGCAGTCGAGTGCTCTCGCGAAAGTCCCGACTGATCTACTGACCACAAGGAACTGATCGATCTGACGATCCGTCAAATTGTGCCGTGGTGTCCACACCAGCGTCTCTAAATCCTGCGACCTGCGGGAATCCGTTTCCCTCTCCGCGGGCGATAACACCGCCGGGGCAATGCCGTCGGCTTGATATCTGCTGCCCACTCTTATTTCACCTGTTACAATGAACACTCGTTAAAATCAGTCACTTCATGGAGTTTTTCGATCGACGTTTTTCATCCATTCATTAACCCGTAAACATTGTCTCTTCGTGTTTTTACACGTCCAAAATCAATTTGCGTTTATTATCATTCTTATCGTTATTATAATATATTTATTATAATTATTATCGTTTATTATAATTCTGGAGGGCCGAAGAGTTGACGGATAATAAAAGATCTTAATAAAAATTCGCTTTGGACCGACCGAAATCGTCCCAAATATTGCAAACATGTTGAAACGCAAAGTGGACAATCGTCTAGGTGCTTAAGGGTTAGTAGACGAATGATTTGCCAGAAACGCGCCGGTATAATATAATAATATCGTAACAAAATATCCTAATAATACCTTTGGCTAAAGGAGCTTTAAGATACTCGCCTCTATCGGCGAGCAAAGTCCGTTGGGTAGGATCAAATACTAAACAATAAAAAAACGAATCCTCCTTGTTTAAGTAGCTCAATAAGGATTCGGTTTCGTTTAGTAACGTCACGCAGCATTTGCCTCGAATATGTGTGGCGGGCATGGTCTCCACTTGCCGCGACAGGAAGAGTTCCCGGTGCTTCATTTGGTGACGCTGTTTAGAACTCAATTCCGGCACTCCTCCTGGGCCCACAGTCTCGTCCAGCCCTATGCACCGTAAAACAATCAAGATAATACATATAGTTTGCACGCGACACTAGATAAAACTCGCGTAAAACTCGATGTACTTCTGAGCTTATACGAATAAAAGGAAAAAAAAAAAGAAACTATATATTACGTTGTTACCAATGAAAAAGTTAAAAAAGCTGAAGAATAAAAAATGTTGCAAAACAAGTGACTTTGCGCGCCTGATTGCAAATCTCTTCGTCGACGGACTGTCGTCGCGCGTCCAAACGCGGCGTCATAAACGGTTTTTTTTGTTTGGAATCGACCTCGCGAAAGAATAATACGCTGGGAAAAACAATGTAACAAATGTGACGGGACGCCACGATGCATCATGTTTGTGCGCGAATACACGACTAGAGGAATACAATCACACTTGAGCACCCATCAAACGGAAGTTATTCACCATCTTTTTCTCGTATCTTGGTTGTAGCAGTCAGCGTTACGTACGTTATACCATCCTCTGGACAAAGAGTTGTACAAGGTTAAAAATTGCAGAAGTAATTCCAGTTATAATAGGTAGGGGGTTGCAATGGTTCTAATAGTTTCAAAAGACTGTATGATAGGAACGGGTTTCACAATCTAGGGAATGGGGATGACACAGCATACGTGACGTCGACTGTTAAGATTCTATTAACTCAGTCCCTAGACATGTATTAATATTGAAAATTAAGCGTTGGTTGTTTTCTTTTGAATATTTATACCTCCGCTGCTTGGAGCATCGCTACCAATTTTATGAAAAGTCACGATTTTCGAATATATATAATCGTCACACGTAGATAATGGGACTGCGTTAATGGAGTCTTTCCTGTTGAAAATTTCCAGGTGGATTCCTACGGAAATCCGTAATCCGTAAATCCACATAGAATAAATCCATATGGTGTGTCCACATAGGAACCCACATGGATTCTAGGACCTGGGTTTTTGGCGCAAATTCCTAGGGATTCCCGCCCGGCTCTTTTCAACAGAATTCTTTTTTCTATCCCCTTTTTCTTCTTTCGACAGGGAATAACGGTCAACAATTTTTTCATACTTTCGCGATTCTCTCTGCGGTGGCTTCTTCACCGTTGATTTATTTCGATGTCTCCGATCGACATTTCCACGCGCGTCGATTGGTCACTAATCTCTCTGACGTAGCTATTACATGTGCGTTGCCGCTGATATGCACTTCCGAGTTAAATCAAACGATGAAAACGAACGATTCGCGACGAGATATCTCGGCGCTCGATATATATCGAACCAAACCAGGAAGGAGAAGAAAAATGTGAAAGAAAAAGAGCGGGCAACGTAAAAACAAAGAATAATAATCTGCAACGAAAAGGCGAGATTAACTGTCGATAGAGAAAGTACCTCATTCAGAGTAGCCTCAGATTACTAAAGTATCGTCATACGATGCGGCGGGATTTTTCTGCGATTTGTGCGGCCAACGAAAGTGAGGGGTGAAAAACAAGGAGAATAGCTTGCCACGGAGGAGCCGCTCGCGACACGAGTTTCCGCGTGTCTTCTGGCGATCGCGGACCCCTCTCGAGATCGACAAATCGCCGGAAAATCCGGAAGAATGGGCTCGCGAGTGGCTCTTCGAGATTGGCAGGCGGAAGATAGCCGCGGCAAATAATAAGAGAATTTACGCGTCCTTCTAATATATAACTTTCAATCGTATCCGTCAATGGTTATTGTACGTGTGTATATGGATTTGCGATCGCGAAGGAATGAATGAAGCGCACATGTGTGGGCACCTCCTCGTGAGAAAAAGCGCCGCGGGCCACTTGTCTTCAACTGAACAGAAAGGGGCCTGCGGTCATGCCCGATCGTTTGCTGTCTCTTTGGCCTTACAGTGAAACTTGCCTTGACACACGGCAGACACCAAGATTACAAAGAATTTGGCAAATCCCGCCGCTAGATCGGTAGCCTTATATCATCACTGGCTTCTGTATGAGATTAATGAGATAATCAAAAGATGCAAATCGTGTGTGCCATTCACTGACGAATCCACATCCCTGCATCGCGTAGTGACCGAATAGTGGGCGAATATGATGTTCTCGCGATGGAATAATTTTCGGCGCATGTTAAACAACCGTTTATTTCGATCAATTGGTATCTACAACAGTAAGTATTCGCACCCAAAGCATAATATTCTCGAATATATAAAGCGCGTTCTTGCTCGAACGTACATGATTCGCGGCGTTATCTCGCAGGTGCCGACTAGAAGATTCATCGGTAATGGTCATCTTTTGATCAACTACTCACTCACCATGGGGCTCTTGGGCCTCCGATAATGGGGCCTTCAGCCAGCCCCCTTTCCCGCCCCCTTTGATCATCACTTTGGGCCCGATCCCATCTTTACTAGTCATTTCCTTAGCAGTGTCAGGGTTCTCGAGTTTCTGATTCTGCGTGTTCGCAGGGGATTCTGACCTCTGCTGCTCCGCGCTTGCCACTGGAATTTTCATTACAGAAACCCATTCTACTATTTCACGTTTTCTAATTTCCTCTACGCAATACACGATTGAAAAGATACAGTACCACCTGACACCTTTGCGAAATTCTATCCCCCTCTTCTTATCAACGGCGTTTGAGCGCACCACCGCGTGCGACTCTCACGATTATCTCAGTCAATTCCATCCGCGTTTCTATTTACCATTCATAGCCCGTATTTTCATTCGCGGCACACGAGATCAATACCTCGCGCCTCGTGTTGTCGAGTGACTTGAACAAGCATGGATCAAAATATCTGCCCGGGCCATCGATTTTCGGACGCGCTCGTAATTAGCGCCCATACTCACGGACGGCATGCGAGCAAAACAAAACGCTCGACTCTGTTTATGCGCTCTTTCCGACTTTAATTAGCCGTTGATTTTTCAATGCGCAGGGAAGAACGAATATCTACGGGGAAAGCCTATCTTCTTCCTTTGACCGTGCCTTATCTTCCCCCCCCCCCCTCCCCGCCCTCTCTTTTCGTCCCTGCGTTGCCTCGTTGTTGCACTCGCGGTGTATCGACTTCCGCAAAAGACAAAGGAAGCGAATATGCTTTTTTTTTCCGCGAAAATTCGAGGTACCGGAGCGTAAAGTACTGGAAAGAGAAAGACAGAGGGAAGGCGAAAAAGAGAGACAAGGGGAGGGAGTGGGAGAGTATAGCAGAAAAGGGGAGAGAGCCCAATTCGGAGCAAATACCGCCGGACGAACGCACATATACACGGACGAGCCGTTACACGCGCGCGCGCGCGGAAGTAGAGACAGACAAAGAACGCGAGAAAGAGAGAGACGTACATGTGTACGTAGCGCGAAAGAAGAGAGGTGGAAATTCGACGCAAAGGGGACGAGCGGGCAGCGAATGCTTAAAACGAAGATGGCTAGTGGGGCCCACTATTTTCGCCCGAGCACACACGCGCACATGTGTATGCCGGTATGCAGCAGTCTGTGTGTGAGGAATACACGTAACATATACCCAAGCAACCCCTGCGTCAGCCATCCATTTAGTTGAGGGTGGTAGGTGGGAAATAGGTGGGTGGAGGATGAAGAGGTGGAGGGAGGTAGATGGAGATGGAGGAGGAGGTGGAAAAGGGGGACATAGCGGGTGCACACGGCCCCCCTTGCCCACCTCCAGGCAGATCGATACAACACCCCCGACTCCCAACCCGCCGCCACCCCCGCAACTTTACTTATTATACATTCCCACCCCAAATCCCCGCGTCTCATTATCTTTGTCATTGCGAAAGGAAAAATCGAGAGACGCCCCGGAATAAACGCGACGTGCGCGTGTGTGACGCATAGAGCTGCGCGACGTGTAAATGAACTGAGACGCGTGCGTTCGTAAATTCATGCGATCTTATGGTCCCCCTTCCACTTGGTTTTTCCACTCGCAGAGGTTTCTTCGAATCGCCCGCCGAATCGTTCCCGTGATAATTATTTCGAAAGAGGAGAGATGCTCTTCCGAAAATCGCGCTTTGCTACCTTCATGTCTCTTGCGAAATCGATCGATCGAAGAAAGAGACCGCGTGAAAGAGCGGTTTCGGTGCAGCGGGGAGACCTTTCTCCGACAGAAATCTCTCCCTCCTCCCCTGCCGTTATCGTGCGCGGATTCCCGTCATAACGGTTTCTCATGAATGACCCGAGTGTCGCGATAAGCCCATATTACGTACTCTATGACGATCTCTCGCTGAAAAGGTGATCGCGTTGACGCGCAACCACGTCGCTCGCAGATATCTCTCGAATTTTCGCTCAACGCCGGCCGGTGCCGTGTCGTCGTCATGTCGCGAAAGTACCGATGCGGTGTCGTCAATGATTACTACGCGGAAAAAAATCGATACCGCTTGGAAATTGTGGCCAGAATCTTCGCTGCGTCGGGGAGAGATGAAATGTCCGCGGATGAATTTTCCTCACCTATGGAACAGTTATCGATCTCTCTCTCTCTCTCTCTCTCTCTCTCTCTCTCTCTCTCTCCCTTCCTTCCTTCCTCGCTCCCTCTCTCAGCACGTACGCCGGCGAACGTTAAAACTAACGTCCGCCTCGTCGTGTCTCGCAGTGAAATTCAGTGGCTCGCGTAGTACTGAAAATCTTGTACAACCGAAAATTGCATCCTCGCGTCACCGTTCGTTAGCTCATGAGAGAAATTACCGCGAGTTGCAAATGAGAAAGATTATTCGCGGAAGATTATAAGGCAGATATTATTGACGCATAATATCGACGCATCGTCGTCGGAACATTATTTGGAACTGTAATCCCGAAAACGTCTGCCAGGATGTGCGACAAGCAGCCTGCGATATCCTTCCCTGATATCTGGTACCCTCGAGAAGGAAAATATATGTTTCTTTTTTTCGCATACTTGTTAGGCGTTGTGAGGAAAATTCAAATCGTGTCCTAACGCGAGGGCACTCCGACAGTCCTGTCATATATTTATGATAATACGGACTCTCATCGCGTTTGAATGTATGCTACTTACATTGATGTTTGTCTGCGAGCATAATTAAGGTAGAAGGTAAATCCCTCCGCCTGAAGAAGCACATGACTTTGGCTTCCACATTACCGTTTGGTGTCTGAAAAACAGGAAACGGCAAAGGTAAAGACCATGTATACGTCGAGTGTTTACCGTCAAGTGGAATGTATAAATATTCACATGTTAAAAGGGTAAAACATATCGAAAGATGAATGTGGATAAACGCGAGGGAAATAACAGTTGTTATCGACGTTCGCCGAAATTATTATAAAATTAAAACGCGTGAAATTGCGCGCGAGTTGTGCTCTCTCTCTCTCTCTCTCTCACCTTATTTAATTCTTCTATCCTCCTGATCTGGTATGGCGACGAAGTGGAGGTTTCGAAATACACGTAATCTAAGAATCAGTAATCACATTAGTAATCTTGCTGCAAATAAAAAGAATTACATAGCAGTTGAGATTATTACCGTCGTCGCGGGATTTCACGAAATCCCAATCACGCATCATTCAAGACCACGCGCGTGTTATATCTTCTCCACGAGATCTCCGTTAAACAAACGTATTTTATCGTAAGGCAATAACCTTCTCTCCGGAAAAGTGGATTCGTCGATTTCGTAACGGATCAGTTTTCGTTTTAATCATTCATTCGCGCGGACAAAAATTTCGCTCGACTCGCCGGTAATATAAAATCGAGAAGGGCGGGGGATTAAGAGGCAAAAGCAGGGGCTAAGGGGAAAAAGAGGCAACTTTCACCGCTGGAAGTGATGCGTGCGACGAACATCATATGTAACATTGTCGTCAATACAATGGGACGGCTGTGACGTCCAGGATCTAATTTTGATTGCGAGAGATTTGTCGCGCAAGAAATTAGCGTGACCTAGACAAAAGAGGGAGAGAGAGGACATTTGTGCGGGTGTAGTGGTAGCGGGAGAGGGCGAGAAAGAATGGAAGTCGGGAGGGAAAAGCGTATGTATAGGACGGTACCGGGGGAGCGAGGATGAAGAGGAGGAGGAGCAGGGGGTGGAAGGGATGAAGGGTACGAGGGAAATCCAGATGAAGAGTAGAAAGAAGAGAGGGGGGGGGGAGTATTATGTAGGGGACGCCATTGCGGTGTCATTTGCAAACATTAATTTCTCGGAATTAATTAAAATCGCGTACGCTTTTTCGGAGACAACAGGAATCGTGAACGACATTGGCGTCGACTTCGCTGCCGTTGGCGGAATACATGCGGTTTTATATTACCTCCCACCCGGTACATGTTGGCCGTCATGTTGCTGGCGTCCTGCGTGGACCCGAGAGCGAAGTTGGCGTTCTCGTGGTTACCGTGGCTCTCGTGGTATTCGGTCGGCATCGGCATCGAGGCTACTAGTCCTCCGGAACGTGGCACAATCGGCTGCCGACGACGGCACTCTTGTTCGAACTCGTCGTCGTTGTCGTGTAGAGTCAACACCTCGCTTGGTAGTCACTTCATCGTGATTGTTTGTCCATTGTCGAATTAACTTTCGTCCGTGCGTTTTCGCTTCGGCTTCTGCCGCGTCCTGCGTTCGTCCTTTCAACTTTCCGCTCTTTCCCTATTGCTCTATTCTTGTCCTTCTCCCTTTCTCTCTTTCTCCCTCCCTCTTCTTATTTCCCTCCTTTTTTTCCGCAGCTTCAGTCCACACGGTGGCGGCCGTTTCTCTCGGACAAGTATTACAAACTTGCAACGTTATTATTTACGTGCTAAAGGAACTCGCTCGCTCGCTCGCTTTCTTTCTCACTCTCGGCCCTCCGCGTCCTCGAGCTGCTGCTGCTGCTCCTACGGCGACGATACTCGGTGTGATACAAACACAATATGTTGCACGAGCGAACGACGCGCGACACTCGGACGCGGGAAAATATCCAGAAGCGGCACGCACAACGGTAGCCAACGGGGCCACCCTCACGTGTCCCTTTCGTCGGCGATTAGCATCGTCGGTGACCGTTACCTCCGCGCGTAAGGCCGACCAGGCCCGCCATTTTAATTCGGCGAGTAGCGCTGCCGCTACACGCACGACCAGACAAGGCTGCAAATCTGACAGCCCCTCCACCAGCACCGCGTACCACCTTGGGCAAGTAGTGCACTCGCTTACCTTTTTCTCCGTCGAAAAACGCGCACACTCGACGTGCACCACTGTTTTTCCTTAATCGGGCAATAACGCCGTGCGTCCCACGTTTTTCGCTTTTCCCTTCGGACTCGGTCTCTTGCACGTGTGAGAAGTCAGCACTCGACCTCAGAGATTCTCTCGATATTGTTCCGCAGGATGGGAAGCGTGCAACGAAAAGCGGTACGACACAAGCGATACTACCGGATCCCGACTGTCTGCCGATACGCGGCTGACGACTCGCAAAACAAGCCCGTGCCACCCAAGAGCCATCTCAAGTGGGTGTCGAGTAACGCGCAACGATGCGCGCGAGCGATGCGCGCGAGCTCGCCGGCTGCCATTGGCTCGTCCGTGCGAACTCTATTCGTCTCGCAGTTTAGGTTTCTTGAGATGGTTAACCTGCTTTTCAAGTTGACATATTAAGGACAATTTTCACCAACTCCGTGACATTAATGGCGATTTGCTGACTCGACTTTTCCAAAAATGTACCAATCAGAACGATGACAGGTCAGCGAATCGCCAAATAAGTTAACCGATAGTTAACCGATGCTTAAACGATCAATCGGATACGTATCAGATTACGGATTGAGATTGGATTGAAATTTGACCAACCAGAGGAAAGTTTATTAATCCGAGTTTAGTGAAGCTTGCTCTAATTGGCCAAATTTCAATCCAATCTTCATTTGTATTTTGATACGGCATATTGATTAGTTTAGCTAATTGGCCGATTCTTTTTATGCTTCGGTTAATTGTCGGCTAACTTAACCGGAGTGAAGGCCCATTTATGCAGGCCGTAAACTTATGCCAGAATCGTAAAAAATTAATTATTGTCAAATGTAAGAAGAATAATCGATTAGGATTGATCAATTTCTTACGGTTTCAGAATAAGTTACGCCTGCATAATTTAGGTTCACGATGTTAGATATCGGACAGACATCTTGTAAAATAAAGTTACTAAAACTTACTAGAAGTTACTAGAAAGCATTAGAAATTCTAGTATTTTCAAGCATCTGCCCACATAAATATTAAATCTCGATACGAGATCATCGTGAACACGAAGAATACTTAGGCCTGTATCAAGAACCATATGATTTAGAAAATTCATCATATAGGAATTCACATAGATTTCTACCTAGATTACCTGGGATTATTAGCAACCATAGGAGATACCATACAGATTTCCTACATGGATTCCTATCTGTACTTTTTCTTTCAACAGGGAATAAACTGTCCAATAATTGACAAAAAAAAAATGCATGAAATTTTTACCAGAGTAATAATATAACAATAAAAACTACTTATTAGAAAAGTATTTGTTAGTTTTGAGCTATCGAATATTGTTGCAATAACGTTCTATTAATTTTGCTCACTGAATGCTTGCGTACCGCATTTCCATGAAATCTTAAACTATAGATGTAAATATCGTACATGTCGCATGATTAGTAATTATGAAGAATTTTCTGTTATTAGGAAAGAATGATCGATTTGAAACAAGAATATATACATACCGCTTCACGCAACGGGACTAAAATCATTTTGTATAACAGATATATAATATTACTTATTACGATATACGAATTTTTAATAAAACTTCCAAAATATTATTTCGCAAGTATGTTTCACGTATGCAAAAGTTCAAATATGAAATTTAATTGAGAACGACGTATTGGAATAAAAATAACATATTGGCGCGCATTCAGTTAGTGCATATAACTTTCAAATTTGATCATAATCTAAAAATCAGGATCATTCGGAAGCTCATTGAAAGCTTAATGAGCGATGTAAGTATTGAATGTACGTACTCATCATTAATCGGTAAGTGGATGTTTTGCACTTTTTAATGAAGAACTGCGATATACGAGGATAATACTTAAAAGGTATTTCGGAAGTTTGTATCAAAACTGGCTATCTGAAAGCACGTGGTAAAAAGTGTGTGTGTGAGAGAGAGAGAGAGAGAGAGATCTATGTATATAGTATATGAAATATTTATATTTACGAAATTAGTCTTTCTATACAATTGCTAGTACGCAGTCATATACTTTTCGCCTTGAGTCGAAAAGAGCGCATATCGATGAATAATTAAAATTACTCACTAATTCGTATAGAACCTGTGCGAGCTTGCCTTGTTTTTTTTCCGCGAAATGTTTCGTAATGCATTTGACTAATAATAAATAAAATAACGAATATATATGCGATCGATTTGAGGTGCAAATACGTAACACAGAGATATATTTATATATACATAATATTGTGCCCTTTCTTCTTCTTTTATAATAATGCGTATATCCGCGTGTATGAACGTTCATAATTTAGCTTCATGGATATTTCAATAATTACTTTAAGGCACACCCCACGGTTTTTCCTTTTATTACCAAAGTAAATAATTTTGTTCGTCATTAATATCATATAAATAACTGTATACCTGTCTCGGTGTGTGGATATTCATTTAGAACCTAAATTTTTATTATGCTTCTCTATTTTTAAGAATAATTAATACTCTAGATGTAGAGGCAATAATCTGTTCTGTACATAATCCTATGTCTTTATGATTCGTTTAAGATAGAAGATAGTGTACCATTTAATAATGATAGTAGTGACAGTAACATTAATAAGAATAATGGGGAAAAAAAATGCATAAAGAGATACGCGCACGTGCAGCTCCTCTCTCTCGTCGTCGCGATGCAAAAAATATGAATGAGTGTCAGAAATAAAACGTACCCAAGGCAATATCACGTCACGCTCACGGTCGCTAATATATTTTCGTATCGATATATAATACGTTTTTTATTCGCGTGGCTCTAGAAAATCCACGTGCGAACCTTTCTATTCGATCCCGCCTCGCAAAGTAGCATCCACAGATCGATACGATAAAAAGAAAATACATGACAGACACACTTACCTTTGCCTGCCGTTTTATACGCGTAACGTTCTCTATTTACCACTCACGATTGATATAATCTTGCCGATAATATCGATATAAAATACCTATGCCGCCGCGCAATTTATGCATTTGTATATGTACAAGTATAGCGCTCTCCCCCGGAGATCCAATTTCGTCTTGCTTCGTCGTATCTCTCTACTCCACTAAAGATACTATTGTATTTTATGAATAAAAAAATACTAATATATCGCATTTCTCTTCTTCTTCTTCTTCCTTGTCGTTGCATGGGCAGTGTTCTGCGAGTAGTTTTGTCCACTGATAAGGCACCAACTATTGTGGGATCCTGAGATTCAACCCGCATGCTTCGACAGATTGAGAGGCATATCTACGCATAGAGAAAGTGAGATAATCATAAACGACTATACATCGCGGTATACGACTCACCCCATACAGTAGAAACGTTCAAAAGACATCCTAGAAGACATCCCAGAAATAATCTCTGGGACGTCTGTAGGATGTATTTTGTGCTATATTCTTCGAGAACCTACGCGAATAATATTTCCCGCTCTATATATTTATTTCCAGACACGATATACTATCGCTATTGACCAACGTCGATAAGTGGGATGTACCTGAAGGAGGTGTGAGAGTTTGTTCCCTGTAGTCTTTATAGTGATGAACAGGCGGGGATGGTGGATGAGGATGCGGCGGCGCGTACAGTGGCATGGGAGGTGCATAGTGGACGGGAGACGGATAATGCATCCACAGGGGTCCCCTGTACGGTCCGGGAGGCAACATTGGCAATCCGTAGAGTGGATGTTGAACGGGCGTATTGCTGGAGCCGATATAAGGTTCGATTCGTGGATAAGCGTTGTTGCTCGATGAGTATTTCATAGGCTGCTGTTGCCGCTCGTCCGGCTTTAGCAAATTCCTCAGGAAGCCTGGCTCGGCCGGCTTATCCTCGCCTAGAATACTCGTTATACTGTACGATGACAGCTGCTTCGAGGCGGGAGTCGGTGCGCTTGTCGTCGTGCAGACCGTCGGTTGCGGAGTAGCTCTCCTCTTGGACGCCTGGTCCTCCAGCGAGACTCTCTCCAGCTCGCGCAGTATGCGTTTGCGGGGCGACACGACATTCGGGTCCAGAAGGCGCGCCAATTTCTCGATGATCAGATTGAGAACCTTACCCGACGACGAGGACGATGAGGACGACGACGAAGTGCCGTTCAGTTTACGCGACGCTCTCGAATAGGCGGCCGTCGATTCCGGGATAAGCGCAGCGGTCGTGGAATCGAACGGGCGCCTGCGCTTCTTCGCTATTAAGCGAGAATGGGCGCATAGACGGATCTTCGGGTTTCGATAGTAGTAGAAATTAAATTCCGTCGTGACCCGGCGCCGGGGGTGGGTCTGCTTCCAGCAGTGATCTCTCTGCCAAGGACTGGACTGCACCGACGAGTTGTCGTCTGAAACTGAGAGCAGAATATAGCACGCCAGTGAATTGGATCGCAGAAGCAGCTTTCCCTAAAAGAATCGACGTGATTACTCGGCGAGGGATCTTCAACTCACCACTGAGGGAAGTAGAGCTCTCCTGCCGATTTGGGATAGTGCTAGCAGGTGGCCAAAAGGTTTTCTTTGGCACGGGAAACCACGTGGTCTTCTCTCCGTCCCTACGATGAGACAGCTCCAGGATAAACTTGCCATCCTTGAAGAATTTCAAACGACCACCAGGAGTTGGTAGGAGGTTACTGTCGATGCGCGCCTCCGTGTGGTGAGCTGGCTGGGGACTCGAATTTTTACCGTTTGCCTTGGCAAGGGTTGGGTGCAATGTAGGAGGATCACGCGAGCACATCTCTGTCGTGCCTCTCACGTGACCTGCGTGAGCATGACATTCTGCTGACTTTTCACGCATACTGATATTTTACCGGTATCCATTTTCCTCCGCTTGGCCTCTCATAATTCGATTTTTCACTATTCGAGATAGGATGAGCTATGCGTTGTCTCCCAGCTCATGAAGATGATTCAATGCACACACCTGAGTTATCGCAGCGGTGTTCAGCGAAGAACATTTTACACTCTGAAGTTCCCCTCTCTCAAAGAAACTAAAATCTCAGCAAGTTACAAAGTCCGAGGCACACGAATCATATTGACAAATAGCAGCTGAAAACAACGCGTGACAAGACGTCGCGAGAAACATAGAACCTGGAGAGAATCGTGGTGACACAACTTGGCGATTTACAGGGCAGCCGAGCGGAGTCCGTCCAAGTGCCATCCGCTCTTGCTGTCGGCGAAGCACGGCGGTACGTAAACTCCAGGCCGACTGGCAGGCAACATCTTTCGTTTCCTCTCGGGGGAAAACGGATGATTCGCGCGTATCCGTCGAAGAAATCCCAGACACCCACCCACCCACGCACCTTCCGCTTCTCCTATTTTACCGCGGCGCGTCCCAAGGGCCGTCAGCGGGGATGTCGTGCGCGGCGTCACGCGTCTCCGCGGTCGCGCGTACGCCGGATTTCGCGCGTAGCAAACACGACGTGCAGCAGTCCGCAGCGGTGGAAAACACCACTCGGCCGCGACACATGTGTTTCACTTCAGCGTGTCGCGTGTGCACATATATATATATATATATATGTATATATACGTGAGACGCGCCCCGACGTTGGAGCCCCGCGACGGTAGCGATCGCGATCCGAGAGCAGGAACGTGCTTCCTTCCCCCGTGATTCTCGCCGCGCCGTTGTCGGTGGGAAGGAAAAAAAGCCAAGGGAGAAATTTCTGGCCTTCGTGTCGACCCTTCTCGTCGACAACACTGGCGGTGGTGGTGTCGGTTCGCGGTCCGTGCGTTCCTACGTTTCTGCACGCGCGGTCCGACTCCCACGAGATCTCTCTCACTCGCGGAGAACCTTCTCTCGGTTGCCGCCGATTTCACTGATGTCGGATCGCGATAACCGAAGCGCGATAACGATCCCCCGAATGGGGTATAAGGTTCGTTTTCGCATACCGACAGCCTCGGAAATTGAGCTCCGCCGAAATTATACCGGCCCGCCCGCCGTGGGCTATTACGGCGAACCGATTATATCGGAATTTCATTGCGCGCCTCCGCGTTTCCACCGCGACAATGGATTCGACTATCTCGTGCTTCCCTCAAAAACCCCCTGGTTTTACGTTTATGTCAAATCGTTCGCCACTTTCCGCTCACTCCCTGAGCAAGGTGGGACCCGCTGCACGGGTCGGAGCGAGAGGGAGGAGGCGAAGTGTAGAAAGAACGGACCTAATCCGGATTCCCGCGCAAGCCGCGCGCTCTTACGAAAAATTCGGTGATTCGAATGAACGATGAAAATGATCTCGATGTAACTGTCGCGTCGCGGACAGAATGGCAGATCACAAGAAAATTACTCTAAAAGTTCCGATCGTTTTCTCATCATTTTCACGTTTTCATCTTTCGTTCTACAATACCATGTGTATTGCATGGTTGAGCGGCGAATTACAACATTGACGTAGGCTGCGTTCGGGCTTTGTCCCTCATTAGATATACGGCAAAATGATTCGTCAGTGCTGATCAGTGCTAACAGCGAACGCATCTGTAATGTTGGCTGATGTTTACCGGCTAGCTGACATCCCGGTTAGCTTTGCCCGAATATCATTTACATTTATCGTTATAATTTCGCATTCAACAATGCATAACGTTCAATGTTACATTTACATTGTCGAATACGGAATTATAAACATAGTGATGCTCGGTGTTGATGAGATTTCGAGAAATATACTGATCGTGCGAGATCCTCGCCTATTTCTTTCTTTCGGCCTTCCATACATTATGTATTCGTTAACTCTCTTTCATCGATCAAAGTGCCTTAAATGTTATCCTGCAGGTGATTCTTGAGAAGCTACTTTTATCGATAAAAGAGAGCTGCTCAGATTATATCTTTCCTCCTCTTTCGTGCGTCCTCACATCCAGAAGGAAAAATGTCTTTCTTTACTTTTTAAATACAGATATCTTTGTTAACGTGCTGAATAAACAAATCGATTTCTTCATTTTCAAGAACGATTAAAATCAGAAAAAAAGTTATTTAAAATGGCATAAATCTGTCAATCATGCATGACGAGATTTCTCCTTTTCTTGTAATCTTCTTTTCTGCTGAATGTTTCTCCACAATAACGTTCTGCATCGTCGTTATCTAAGATAAGAATCTCACTGCGAACCTTCCACATGTTTCCTTTTTTCGGCATATTCGGCACCGATATGGCTGATATTGTTCCATATGTTCGAAAGAGGTGGCTGCATGTTACAATAATAAAATGCGACATCGAATCCTTATGTATTCGTGAGAAGACTTATCATATAGTGCAATTATAGGAATTGATTATATCACGACTCCGTGGAGACTAGTGGCTGCTCCCATACTGATCTTTAACTTAGTGGTGGCGATGAGCGATACGCAAAGTTCCGCAAAGATGTTGCTCTTCATAGAGATATTGAAGAGTTGGAAAGCAGGTGTATCATCATCAAAGCGCGGATTTCTAATTACATTGATTTCTTCGAAGAGAATATATGTATCATCTTAGACAATTATATGAGCCTTTACACTCTCCGCGAACACGTGTGCAAAATCTTTCACACACAGGTGGTGTAAATAGTTAGTCGAATACATGCTTATTGACGCTACTTTTCGTATCGCTTCAAAATTATATTTTGGATAATAGTATGGACGGAGTTTGTGCATTTCCCGAAAGACGTGGCGACTAAGATCAAAACAAAGCTGGAAAGAAGGAACAAGTCGCACGGAACAAAGGAGATTAGAATGCCGTGCCGTATCCTTCGTAAATTTATTCATTTAACAAATTAGCTCATTTTAAAACTACGATAATTATTAAATTAAGATCGTGTTAAGCGAAGTATGTTTTATAAAAAGAGATTAAGATTTAAATCAACAAGTTTTCATTTGCGCTTTCTTTTTTTTTTCTTTAATTTTTATTTGTACTTGGCTCAATTTGGCCTTCATTTAGTAATTTCCGTGGATTGATTTACGACGTTTCGTGAAGTTGACATCTTCGGAGAGAACCTAGATCAAGCATTTCGTCAAAAACTGCGAAAACCTCGAATAAGAGCGCGCGTCGTTCAATCTCATCCATGGAAAAGTCCTTCATTTCCTCTCTCATGTTTTTCCCACAATCCAGGTCGGCGGAGCAAATATACACGCTCAGTCGAGTCAATTTACCGTATGATATTGGATTAATGCGTAAATCGGTTGGCCATCGTCGCCTCTCTGTGAATGTTTCTGCCACGAAGCATCAGGCCTTGGCAGGGAGATTTGTGCACGTTCTCGGTCGGCTCGTCATCGGCAGCTCGCACTTGCAACAGGAACATACGTCGGCTCTTGGACGATAGGTTCAAATACGAACCGTGAAGTAGCAGATAAGAAAAAACAATAATATCTCCTCTTTTGGCCGACACTGGTATGGCCTTCGACAAAGGGTATACCTCGGGGTCGACGTAATGATATTGCTGGCCTTTCTCGTCGACCAAGCCATGATCTGTCAACGGGCCGAGCTTGTGGCTACCTGGATACACCGCTAAACCGCCATTTTCCGGCGTGATGTCGTCCAAATTTAAGAACACTGCCAGCATTGTGTGCTTCTTGTGAGGAAAATAGTGATAATCCTGATGCATCAGGTAAGGTGCACCCTTCTTCGGCGGTTTTACATGCGCTTTCGTGTGATGTAGCAGGATGTCCGGTGTGTCCATGATATCTTCAAGGGCATCCAACAGATTCGGTTGGGTAATGGCACGGATGAAGACTGCGTTGTGCATTTGCAGATTGTGAATGGATTTCACCTGGGAAATAAAGATAATAGTAATGGAAATTGTGTACATCCGAAGACTATCTTTTGAAAGAGACTTGAGTGTGTTTGTTTCTTGCCCGGAGGACAACTAGGAATCTTTTTGTGAATCTCGGCTTTTTTCTTGGGAAATTTTACAGTACATTCTAATATATCTAATAAATATCAGATAATAAATAAAAAGTAGAAATATATAATGTAAGTGGTGCTTTTTTAAGAGTTTGATTTGATAAATTACTTCATCAGGAAGAAATTTTATTGTGAAAAGATCGGTTGCTTTTTTTCTCAAGTACCACTAGATAACGTTCCAAGAGCGTTATAGTAAACGACGTAGAGATAAATCAATCGAAATATTTCTAAAGATATATGCGATATCCTTAAGGATACGCTCGAAGAGTTAAACATCTCAAAATCTAAAAGTTCTTCAAGCTCGACTGTAAACGTCACTTTCCAATCATTAAATTATTGTCTGATCATATAAATTATTAGTTAATGCCTATTCTTTTTAGCTGCACTGCTGAACAATAAGCTGAGACAACGTGTGTGTGTTTTCTCATTTCAATTTATTGCACCAGTGATGCAGCAATGCAGTTAAAAAGAACGGATCAACACGTATATATATGCTTTTGATTCACGAGTAATTTTCACTTACAGAGTAATCGATATATCCAGCTGCTTTTTTCATGTCCTCCCCGGCCCAAGCGGATTCCAAACCCGCTAGATTTTCGCGGTGCTTCCTCTCGAACAATTCATCGTAAGCGTCCGATATCTCGTTTACTTCCATTAAGGAATATACGTTTGTCAATTTAATATAACCATTCTCTTTCCAGAATTGCTTCTGCTCCGATGTTAAGAATTTCAAGGCAGCCATGTCCAACAAAGTTCGAAGACTTTCCTCGCCGTTATACGAGATTTAGTATAATATCTTCCTTTTTTTAATATCTTCGCGTGTTGAAATATGTTGTTGCACTCCTCTCTCCAGACAGCATTCTTTCCCTATGGTGGGGTTATCTGCATATAATGATATCGTAATACGCAATACGCTTATCGTATTTGTTTGAATGAGTTTTTTCCAAAACTCGCATGTATTTAAAGGAAATTATATAAAATTATTTGCGTACTCGCGAGTACTTTATATAACTTTATACGTATAGTGTGTAATAATTAATTACGACTCAGTATATAAGAATAATTATAATCATGTATTCAAATATTTATTGCAATTTTACATAATTCCATTCCTATATAAATTAGCATTAATTTTCACTTAAATTTTACTTCAATTCTACTTAAATTTCATAGTGAATATATGTTATCAATAAAATATTCTATTGTTATGTAATTTTGTATTGCAATACTGACTATATAAGCCGATACACGCAATAGTCGGTATAAGACTTATCACAAATGTTATGTACAAAGATGTAAATTGGGTCAGCTATTTTAGATTGTAAGTGGAAATTTCTGTCACATGACCTTATAGTGATCAGATCGTGTTTGTCATCTCGACACGTCATTGCATGATAATAATAAGTTCACTATTAAATATGCCAATATCTAATACTGTCTGTTATCCCTGATTGAAATGAATTTATTGATCCTGCTAATATCCTAAAGTAGAAAAATGATCTGCCCTTGTTCTGCACAACAAGATATTATTTTAGCTATAATTGTAGTAAAAAACTTGCGTGCATGGTCATAGATGATATTTAAATCCCTTTATGATTTGCTTCGACTGATACCATCGATATGAGGATGGAGAACTACTGCGCTGAATATATTGCACATTGTCCTCATCATTGTCTTTCGTTGTATGAATCTTGTATGAGTCATGATACACTTTGACAAGAGTCCTGCAGGTACACTGTATATCCACTTGGTTGTTCTGGCACAGTCTAATATTGAAAGTTATGGTTTGCGTAGGTAGTGCATATTGTGACTTAGGTACAAAAAAATCCGAAACTGGATTACTGTCTCTTTTTTTCAGCATAATGAAGGTATTCGTTATACTTAAAGGTATATTCATAGCTTCTTGGAACTCGTCACACTCCAGCATAGATCTGCAAATGAAATTTAACAGATAAACTTTTACGTGTTCTACAATATTTAGTTTAAGTGCTCTCATCTACTTATTAACCTCATGAGTTTTACGAGCGGTTTTCGCGAAGAATGTTGATATTCCTTATGCTGCTTGCTGTTGAGAACATATGACGGCAGCTCTATCTTAACGCACAATTTTGGCGATACCACTGTAGCACCAACTAATATAGCAATTTCTTTTACATCGCACCCCTCGAGAAAGAATTGTGAGAATAGATTGTCCGAGACGCTCTTTAACGTGTTTGTTAAAGTTTTAAAGGCTATTGTGTTTTTGTCGGTCGCCTTCACACTTGTTTGGAACTGAGCCAGTGCATCGTACGCGATCGGTATTTGCTGCTTCTGGTAAAGGATGTATTTCACAAGTTCAATTACCATTTTTGTGCACGACTCATCGGTCAACGGCTCGTCCAACAACACATTAATTTCCGTCTCAACTTTTTTGCTTTTGGAAAACATGTTTCTTCTTTCACCTCGGATGTAACCTAAAAGCATTTATTTTGAAACACTGGCCGCCGACAAAAATGGACGACTATCAACCATTGAGTTATAATATCACATACTGGAAGGAGCACTGGCGCGACGGGGACCGTAAGTAGACTTGTGAGACAAAGGCCGTGGCTAAGTGGTATTTTACTTTCTGTCTTACTAACATGACTATGAGACGGACACAGCAGAGAATACTATTCTTATAGTTTTTGCCCGTAGAACGCACTCTCATCCGGCAGAAAATTCATTCCAGTTTGCTCAATGTTAGTCCCCGGCCGACAAATTAAAAAGGTGTCCATTATGTCGATTGACGATTTGTTGATCCGACTCGGGGTCATTATTAAAAATCCACCAATTAGAACGCAGTACGATGATTGGGACAGCGAATCGAAAACGCCACATAATACCACTAGCGCCGAATGTTGGTTGCCATGTCTGGTTAGTTACCAAGTTCGCTTTGTTTATCTTCACCGTATGAATTTTTAAGTTTCTCGCGAAGAAGTTACAAGACAAAATATTATGGAGCTGAAGACCAAGCAAATGGAAAAGGTACTGGAGTCTCTACAACAGCAGGTAATCAAACTTGCTCTTTTGGACAATTTTGATAAGTATAACATTCTTGTCAAAGTAGACTTAAAACAGTAATAAAAGTACAAGAGTCACATATACAAAATATAATAAAAAGTAAGGTTCATTAATACAATAATTAGTAAATAAGTGCAAGGTGATTATTTTTATTTCAGATAAATGGATTACAGCTATCATTAACTAATGTTTCTACTAATCCATCAGAGATTTTAGTTGCAAAATCAATGCTCTCTGGTCAACTGCAATCTTTAACTCGGAGATTCAAGAATTTGATAAGTGATAATAATACAAGTGAATATGAAGAAACCAATGTAAATTTCGCTGATACAACCACAAAACATACTTATTTATTGAGGGACATTGAAGATTTTGTATGTAGCAAGAAAGTCGCAGTATTATATTTGTACGTGATATTTTATTCACTCTCAATTTCTTTCCTCTTTCTAGATCAAACAAATTGATGATTACAAACTTGACGAACATAGTACCGATTACATGGCAGAATCATTGTTTGGCAAAATTGCATTAGCTCTGAGAGCTCTCGAAGATTTAGAATGCTTGCCATTAAAGCAAAGACTCCAGGATTGTTTGGATTATGTTAAAGAAATGAGCATAGCGAATCAAATAGAAGACTTTCAAAATATAAAAGTGACATTTGAAATAGAATTGAATTCTTAAGCCTTATTTTTCAATTTCAAAGCTTTATTTTTCTAAATATCTTTTTTTTCATAGGAACTTGGTACTTCAATATTAGAAATACTTGATCTACTGCAAAAGTACAGAAAAAGTTTAGCGTCTACCGTTCTGTCGGAAAAACTAACTCTATACACTACTCAATTGTGCACATCATTTGGTATGCTGATACAACTGGCTGAAGAGCAGCATTATTTAAATGCTCCAATTTATGTAAGAGATCATATATTTAATTAAAATTATTAGTTAAAAGCCTCAATAAGAACCAAAGTAATTTGCGCAAGAGAACAAAAATTTCAATTTCCAGTTATGAGACAAGATGAGTTTAAACTTGTTTTTGAACTGGTCGTGGTGTTTAGTGTTTTTAAATTTCCGAAAATATTACCGCTGAGAAAGAAATCAGTTTTCTTTCCGAGGGTTTATCTGAAAAAAAAAACCTATCAGTTTGGGGAAAATATTATTTTTGCCCATAGAATATGCAGACATATCAGATTTCTCTGTCTACAATTTTTAGGACATTTTATTTCTTACTGTATGTACTTTTTAACCATTTTTTAAATTTTTTACTTATGTCTCTCAAAGATATTATATTAGTAATGCTTAATCGAATGGTTTTAAATAAACGCGATATTTTGAACGACCAGTTATTATTCTTCACAAATATAGCTTGAAAGAAAGAGAAAGAAGAGAAAAAATAATATTCCTAATGACTGAATGATAATAAGTTTTTCCCGAGTTTATTCGAGCAATCGGTACACTAGTCATGCTTTGTAATTGAAATTTCGATCCTTTATGTAGATTATTTTTTGTGTTGGCTCTTATTGGCTTTTAATTAATTTCGATTATATATCTGAGAGGTTACCGCTATAATTTCTCCTGGTCATATATTTAAAAAATAATTTTCCAATTTATATACTATATTTACAATGCACAAATATGTGTAGGCTTGCAAGAAATATATTTGTAGAAGAATATGTATTTGTTGCGAAATGATCATAGAGCTGCTCGGTGGTTCGAATCCATCTGCGGAAGAGGAAGCTCTCGAAAGAGAGAATCACTTCGTTTACAGGTGAGAATACAAACGATGTCTCTCATGTCTTCCGTCCACTGACGCTACGGTGCATTTTGTAGAATGGATTTAGTGTTAGATGTTATATCAGAGATACCAAGAAAAACGCATCAGCAGCAACTGTCCGAATGCGCGGAACTGTGGCTGAGACTAGAAGACGTCTTCTCTCACGCCATGGCAGTTACTCAAGTGTGCCAGCCGTATAATTTCAAAGCCATAACTGGATCATGCCAGTCCATAGTGCAGGAATACGATAAGCTAAAACAGCAATTGCAATCAGAGGTTCCGGATACGGCATTGAATACGTTATTTATGCATACCTTAACCGATGCACTCTATCGTTTGGAACGGAAAGTCAATATAGCGATGTTAACCCTCGTAATGGAGGTCTTCAGCAATCCTTACACCGTGTTGAGGAAATTTGTTATGACGTGCGGGAGTTCGTTGAGCGCAAAAGAAAGATCTAAGAACGATCTGAACAATCTCACAGAAGATTTCGATCAACTCTTTGATCAGACCGTACAAATCGGAATGTTCGCTATCGCCTGTTGCAAAGACACGAGTCGTTAGTCATTTTTATTTATAAAATAAGAAAGTTCTCTTTTCAAAACGAAATATCGAGCGTTGTTGTTTCAGGTAACAATAAGATCCGCAACTGTCTCGCAGGATTCGAATCCTTAGAGACTGAGTTAATATCCGCCATCACTTCCTTCTACTTGCATCCTGACAACAAAGAGATGCGTTCTAGTGTCAAGCTGTTGACCGCGCAGTGGCAGCTAGAAATGAACAAGTTTCAGAACGTCGTAAATCTCATTATAAACTCAGCTGCTTTCTGCCAGGTAGATATAATGAAAAAGTCGAGAATCACTTGAGCAAAAGTTCTTGAGCGTGTCCTTCATTCATCAGGTGGTTTTGGACAGTCTTCAAGAACATGTAAAGACAATGTCAGATTGTCTGGATAATAGACAACCAGTGACTCGGCTGCAGGTGCAAGCTGTTGTTCAGCGGGCCTCGGCCCTGTCCAGCCAAATGACTGCGGTCGTGAATGATATCGGTATAGAAAATATCGATCGTCAGACGATAATGATGACGAGAGAATTGAAAGCAGGTATAAATACCTCATTTACACCAATCACTTGATGCCAACTTTCTATCGCATTGATGATGTACGTAAATAACGTTATGCATTAAAACATCTATACCAATTTAATGCACCATCATTGACACCGAGAAATAAAGATAAAGAGTTCAATATAAAATTGGTATTAAACCACTGACGTGAATAAGCTACACTTTCTATGAAATTAGTTTAATTTCGACGATATACGTAAACGATGGCGATCAAGTTGGTATGATTTAATTTATACTACTATTGAATCGATACGATATATCTTTTGGAGGCAATTGGTTAAATGATGGATGTAAATAACAAGGCCGTATGATTGTTTGTATTTGACCTTTCTTCATTTCGTTTAAAAGCCATATTCGAAGCCAATGCGGCTGCCAAAACTCTTCTGGTGGAGAATGCGACGGAGCCGCAACAGTTACGCGTGATAAAACGCTGTGAATTAATTTTGAAAGTCGTTCAAAGATTGCAGCCCGCGCTATCCGCGATTATGAATAACACCATGCACGAGAAATCCGGAAGGAGCCAAGGAAATTCCAGCCATGGCATGACAAGTATAATAAAGTCTGCCTATGTTTATTGTGCAGCAAATACGTCATTAAAGCAAAAAATTCGCATGTTGCAGCAAGTATCTTCAACACCGGTAACACCAATTTTCCATGTACGATTTACGGTTTGCCACGTGACGAGAGCAGTTTAACTTACATCAGGACACCCTACACAGGTTTGTAAGAACTTGGCAATATTTTGCTAGTCTTCTAATGGCCGCGTTCAGAAAAACAAGCAGCTAAGTAAGAGCTTTATGCTGTGCTGTTAGCAGCTTTGCAACTGTTGTAAGATTTTCTGCTGAACGACATCAGTGGTTTTCCAACATGTTTACTAAGTGCGCGGTCGCCATTTTTTCCAGCATACTTTTAAACTGGACTGCATAATAAATGATCAGATATTATATATTTCGGATTGGTTAACGAATCCAAACGTTAATTTTGCTCTGTTTCGCTAAATTTTTTCTTTTTTTTCGCTTTATTTCTTTCACTATTATTTTTCGAAGGTACTGCTTTAGCACAATGTTACATGTACAACTTGGCACAATTAAACAAATTGCAAAAATCGAAAAGCGGAGGCCGGCGAAGAAAAACCCGTTTTTTTTATCGCGCATTTTTTGTATCACAAGGTGAAAAGTCGTTAAATTTAATTTGTGTTTCAGTAAAAACGTATAAACCGCCGTTGTCCATTCAACCGGCCAACAGTACCGTACAGAAGCCGTCGGATTTGTCGTGTTTAATACCTTACATAAAAAGCGGCCGCGCACTACGCAGCGAGCACACCATCATGTACAATACACCGCGTAAAATGAAGAACGAGGCGGAATCAATTGTTCGAAGCGAGATGTCTTTCAGGAATCCGTCTAACGTCAGACAACATCTCTTCGGTAGGGATAGCTTTGCAGTTCACAGCGCTAACATCGATGTCACTGAAGAGAGCATGGATTTAACCGGTAAAATTCACGAAGAAGTCCGTTTAACTTTGAAACTGCGGCCACATCGGTGTGATGTGTTTCAGCTGCCTTGGAGAAGATTAGCATGTTATCTACATCGGCGAATGCAACGTTCTCGTCTTGTCAATCCTCACAAGATGTATCTCCTGGTACCACGAAGAAAGGATCAGTTTCCAACACGGTAGAAAATTTGCGCGGAAATGTGAGATCAGAAGCGGACAATTGTTTAAACAAGTCCTCAGTGACCGAAAAGTCGGGCGAACGGGCTATATCGGGTGGCGGCGATGTATCCTTAATCACGGAAACCTGTAAAAGGCTCAATAGCGTTCAACTTTCCAATAGCAAGATTCAAAACTCAACATCGAAGTAGTATAAGGTGTAACGATGGTGTAGGAAGGGATTGTATTTTTACACGAAATCCTCTTGTCAGTGGATTACTTTCTAGTTATAAAAGTATACGAAATATATATTTTAAGATGATAGTTACATTAATATATATATTGATGAACATACACGAACAATAATGCCGATTACATATATAGATTCATAATTATTCAGTTTAATAAAATTTGAATGTTTAATCACAGGGATTGAAACTGCTGTCAAGAATATCGTTTTCATACTAATATTTTTCGGCATTATACAATAATCGGAGAAAATCATGAAAAATAGCTCCTATGAGATTATTTGTTAAATAATCAAAGAAAAACAATTTGTGCCGGTATTATTATAAAATTGTTAAACGTCTATTGTTGGTATCATATCGAAATTTTGCACAATACTGATATAAGATATGATGATAGTGTTTTGCGCAAAGCGGCCGCACGTGTAAACTTACACCGCGTTTCTAGTTGAGAGATGGTCCTATCATCACAACCATAGAGATATAAGAATAGAGGGAACAAGCCTTTAAGTGGAAGTCATAGAGGCAAAGAGAGAGATGGATGCCGAGTGTCCTATCTGTCTCTTTCTAGTCATGCGCTGGGATTGGCTGCCGCGCCAATCGATAACGACGATATAGCTATACATTTTTCTCCATCCAATTCAAAGAAACTGTCATTGCTAAAATGATCACTGCAAATATATGCTGTTTTCACTTTAAAATACAAAGGTAGTTGAAGTATATTCAACCATTTACGCCTTATATCTACATCCTTCGGTAGCCTACAACATTTACATATTTTTTTAAATGAAGGAAAAAATAATATATAATTATTTGAGGTTACGTATTTGTACTTTCTTACGAGTGAAAACTGCGGTTACATCCAGGATAAGACTCCGCCTTGCATTTCAAACAATGCCTCATTTTTAAACGAATCGCGTCCAATTATTATTTTATTAACGTTCGAATGTTTAACGAATTTTAATTCTACACACATGTGCACGCATATTTATAAAACGAAATTTTAGTCTGCTTTCTCCCCTTCTGACGTCGCGTGGTCGCCTTGGTGGCTCATTGTAACAACCAATCACAGCGCTCGACTAGAAAGAGACAGATAGGACACTCGGCATCCATCTCTCTCTTGACCTCTATCACTTCCACTTACAGGTAGCATATATCCCTTGTTCCTTCTATTCTTATATCTCTATGGTCACAACGGTTGAACGGATCAAATTCTACGTAGGTTCAATCGATTTAGCAAGGTCCTAATATTCCGTTTTTCGGTAAGTACTAAAGGTTTATTAGCTATCGCGTGAACTTCCGCGAGCGTTGTCGCGCCCTGTGGACAAAAACCATAAAGCCCGTATCGTAGATTACGGATTGGGAATTGAGATTGAATTGAAATTTGACCAATCAGGGTAGAATTCACTAAATTTCACTAAACTTGAGTTTAGTTAACTTCACATCGATTGGCTAAATTCAATTCAATCTCCAATCCGTGGTCTGATGTGTAGTCCAATCAATAGGTATGCAGAGATGACAAAATTCCAACCCGAAAACAAAAAATAGGATTGTATAGAAAAAAAAATTCTAAAAAACATTTCTATTTCATGAAACTCGAATCCAATTGGCGAAATTGGCGAAAAAAATTCGCAAAGTTTGAAAAAACGGTTTTCCGAAGATAAAAAAAACTATAACTCCGATCAAAAAAAGTAAATGACATAGTTGTAGATAATAAAAAGACCTTTCAATTAATTATTTGTAAGTCTCGATCGAGATGTAAATTATCGAGATATATCGAAAAAACCGTCGAAAATAGCATTGTTTTGTTTTCGTTATATCTTTTTTAATTTTATATATATCCACTCGATACTTGATGGAAATATAGTTCGTAGCAAGTAGAATAAGTACAAATTTCGAATTTTGAAAAATCTTTAGTTTCCGAGATATTTTGATTTTGCGAAAAAAAGGCGTTCTCGAAAATTGGCCACTCTTGCTCTAGGGCTGATCGTAGAGTGACGATCTTGGGCTTATTTTTTTCTCAAAGACTTGTACTTTTATGCTATTTTACGTTTATAATGATTTTTTAATTTTTTAATACTAAAAAATGACTGAAAATTTTGTTTTTTTTTTCGGTCACGTTTTTTGCTATATTTTTTTCAATTTTTATTTTATTGAATTGGCTCTAGCCCAAATCGATTGCTGGCAATTTTCAACGAATTAAAAAAAAAAAAGTTGATCTACGATCATTTGGAGCCGAGATAGTTTTTTTTTTTCTTTAAATTCCTCTATCCACAGTTTTCATCCTGCGGTATTGGCCTTGTAGGAGATTACTTTAAAATAATTATATTTTAAGAAAAAAAATAATTTTTTTCATTTTATTAATGATTAGCATTAATAATCAAGTGCGAAAGTTGAGCGCACGAGCAGGGCGCGCGCCTACTGCTGCGGACGAAGGAGTGGGGGTAGCCGAGCTCAGCCGTCCCGATAAACCGAATTCTCTCGTTCGATATCGCTCGCGCTCGAAAAATTTTTCATATCTTTACTCCTATTTGACGTACAAAAATCCTTTTGTACTTTTTTTGGGGTAGCTGAACGAGAGAAACATGAAAATGATAGTTTCAAACTCTTCATAAGCCAAATAGTCATAATAGTAATGTTATTTTCATAAATATTTTTATTTTTTATATGTTTTTCGGTTTATTAATATATATTTACAAAAAAAAATAAAATTATCGTCAATGATTGTTTTCGTATCTTGGTAAATAATTATGTACAGGTCATGAATAAATGAATGAAGTGTATAAAGGTAAGTTTTAATATCATTTAATACATATAATTTATTACAAAAATTCTAAAATGAGACTTATTTATGTTTGTTACGTTTGTATTTTGAAATAAGAAATTCGGTTATTCACTTTAGTATTATAATATTTTTGAAAGTGGGGGTTTTTACACCATATAAGCGTTGTAAACCTCTCGAGGATTTTTTGAGAAGTAACTGTACAGCTCTTTTATGGGATGGGAAGAACGAAGAACGTTTTAACCCTTTGCGCTCGAGAGGTGCCTCTCAGGCACCACTCGGATCGAGGCGGCAAATTGAGCGATAACGGTGTTTATTTAGATTTGGCCTAACGAATATTGCTTCACGAGTCTATTCCTAGCTCTCATGAAATAAGCGGGAGCAGCTAAACTCCTCTCGAGTTCGCTCGAGCGAAAAAGGCCTCGAGCGCAAAGGGTTAATATATATCTTACGTAGTAAAAGTGTCGCAATATCACAATTATGCTGCTCTGTTACAATATATAATATTGTTACCAAATCGTTGCTGAAGAACAATAACTTGTTACTTCTCACCCCTGTAAGTACAATACGCGATATTATTGCATTGTAGATGCGCACACATGTTTAGAAATTGAATAATCGTATGACATACGATAAACAAGTCATAACAGATTATCCGGCCAGGTCGGGTAGGATCGCGCAAGGTGTCGACTTTATCAATAAGCCTGTCTCTGTCTCTGAAACATGTTACACTTTTTACTGTTAGAGTGAAAAAAACGTACAACTTATCGTTGAAAGAAAACGAAGCAAGTTCCAGTGCAACTGTAGTTCAGGAACAAAAAACGCATCCGAAATGATCTCTTTACAGCGAGAATCCGACGACGGTTAACTGCGTTATTTGCGTGCCGACCGTCAGATGGCGCTCGTATCCCGTTCCGCGGGCGGCTCTGGATTGACCCGTGTCGCGGCATAGCGGTCGTTCCGCCGTCGGTGTGTATAATCGTCGGAGTCGATCAGTAACAGCTGACCCGTTGGTCGGTACGTTGTCGTGTTGCTTACTCGTAGAAGCGAGCTGCTCTCGGAGCCCGCGTCCGAGGGTAGAGTTTGTAAACGAGTTCGGACTGCGCGCACTAGCGTGTGTTGGTGCGTGCGTGTACCTGCGTACATACGTACGTGTGTGTGCGTCCCGGAAGAAACGGAGACGAGTGGTATGCCGATCACAGTCCGTCCGTCCACCGCGAGCCGCTCTGCGTGACGAGGAGACGACGAATGTTCACGTGCGCACGTCACGACTGGCATGTCGTGCGAGGTGAGCGATCTCATTCGCCTTTCGCAAAAAGCTCGGTACCCTCGGTCCACGTGCGTATCGGTCGCGCGTTCCTGCCGCGCTACTTGATGAAGGGAGAAAACAGAAGCGAACGCCACGCTTAGCGGTCGTTCTCGTTGGTCTGCTCCCGCGGTAGCGTCGGAACGTGGCGGAACGTAATTTTCGGCGATGCCGAAAGCAGACGAGAGCTAAAGCGAGCGAGCGAGAAAGAGAGAGAAAGACGCCGCGATATATATAAACATGTACTAGATAAGAGTGTATATATGCGCGTATACACACGAGCGCAACGAGCCATACGAAAGAGACACAGGAAGGGAAACGAGAGGGGAAACGGAGCGAGTGAAGTGGAAGCAGAACGACACGCAGGGACGCCGAGACTCGCCCGAGACTCGTGGCCGAGAACGCACGTGGGCAGCGTGGGCGCGACCGAAGACAATTTCTCTCTCTATGTATGGATGTACACACACATATATATATATATATATATCTTTCTCTCTGCTGAAACGGTACACAACACTGGCCCGTATATACACGTGTGTACTTTCGCACAAGTACCAAGCGGCGATCGATTGCGCGCGCTGCATCGGCGGCGACCCGTCGTCATCGGGAACCGAGGAAGGAGCAATGTCCCCGCAACCTTACAAGCGCGATCTTAAGCGCGCTGCGACGCGCCGTCCTGTTGTGTCGCCGCAACCTCTTTCGTGAGTCGCGTCGAAAGTCCCCCCCTCTCTCGTTCGCACAGGGTTCGTGGCACACGAACGAACGCAAACGCCCGCCATCGGGTGGTACGCGTTTGCGTGAAGCGCGCTTCTACCCTCTGGTCGCTTCGGGCGCGTGACGTAATCCATTCAAGCGCTTACTACGCAATACACAAGACACGGTCGTGTCTGCCTCTCCGCCCGTCCCGCTCGCTCCGGCGTATTCTCTCTCGCTCGCGCTTCGTCGCGCCCGCTCAATGCCTGCGACCTCTTTCGCTCCCCACCAACCCCTTCATCGTCGCCGCGTCGCGGCGCGCCCTCCTTCTCTGTTTTGATCGTTCGCCGCCGGCGCGTAGGGTGCTCTCCTCCTCGCGAAAGAGAGCGATCGGAACGATCGACGGAAAAAGCGCGACACTGCCGTGACTCTCGATTTACGTAGGACGACGACAACGGCGCGGAGTCCTCGTTGTGTGTGATCGCCGAAATTCTGGCTTTTTCTCCCCTCCATCCCCCTCTCTCCCGTTCGACGCGCGGCCCGAGTTCGATTCGGAGTTTCGCCGTGTGTAACCGACGTACCGAGCTCTAGCGTGTCGCGTAAAGTGTGGATAGATTCCTACACCCACGTACGCCGCGCTGAATCGAAGCCCGCAAGGTTGGTACTCTCTCCGACTTACGGTCGCGTTCGGACGCTGCGAAGGACTTCATTTACCTGCGACTTCCATCCGGGGAATTTATGCACTCGTCATTATGTAACGTGAGAATCACGCTCAATGCCAAGGCGAACGGTGGCTCGAATACGGCGGCGAGGATAAGAAGTGTCCCCGAATGTGTGTTCCGCCCTCTCCTGCGTTCTTCTTCTTTCTCCTTGTCGCTCCAGCGTGCTCTTTTTCTCTCTTCGTTTCGGACCCTCACAAAGACGACGGTGTAGGAGTGCGCGTCCGGCGAGATCAATCGACCGAAGGTGTGCGACGCAGTAGTTTGTGTACGTCGCGAGCGTCGCGCCGCGGCTCAGTCGCCCTTAAGTGCGGAACGCGTGTGAAGAGCGAGAGTGCGTCGTTCGTTGTTTACGTTCGCGCGGCCACCATTTCGGCCCGATCGCAGCCTTCGATCAGTGCGTCATAAATAGCGATCTCGCTCTCCGCCGGACGCGTCGCGTAATTGGGAAAGTAGGCGACGATGATCGGTAATCGATGGCCGGACGAGTGCGTTATATCTTATCGAGCTCGATCGAAGGTGAGAGAGCCGTTTCGGGCGTGCGACTTGAAATCGCCGGCCTCGAGTGTTATTGCGCAGCGTCGCCTGCGGTTCTTCAGCGCGACGGGAATTCTTTCCGCGGAATCTTTCCACCTTCGAGACAGACGCGAGCTGATTCCGCCGCGCTTTGATCGGTTCGCGACTGCCGATGTAAGGTGTAATTCAGCGCAGCTGAATCGTAAATAACGATCCGGATTAATGACGTACTGGTTCGCGCTTTTGCAAAAATCGAGCGGCGTAAGCGGGTTACGTCGTCCCGCGCGGCGGGATCAATCGGCCCGGGGAAGGCACGGTGGGTGATATTTTTGCATATCGCGTAAGATCGCCGTGCCTCTACCCCCATCCCGCGTTCCGCATCCGTGCGATGCAAGTCTTGCTCTCTGTATGCCTACTGGCGAAACGACGCACGTCCGAAAGCTTATCTTTTCTACTAAAGCGAAAGCTACGCGCGAACGTACATTCGCGAGATAACGATGAAATAAGTAATATGGACAAATCGGATCAAACCTGAAACTCGCGTACGTACGCGAGAGATAAGTTTTTATTCGCGATATGAGTCGCACATTTGACGCGAAATCCGCGCTGGAAACGTTCGTCCTTGTAATCTCTCTCTCGTGGTCGTCGCGAATGCCAATCCGCATGTCTCTCTCGCGTTTTTCCATCCATCTGTTTTAATAATCAGCACGCGCGATGCTGCATAATGACCGTGAAATAAATGAGAAGTTGTAATCGGCTCTCGATGTGTACTTTTGCATATTTTACGCTATACGCGAACTCGCGCGCAGTTCCTCGAAACAATCGATCGTTTGTAGTGCCATGAGGAGATCAAAGAGCGAGGAGTCGCTTAGCATAATCGCTAATATATATCCCGGCTATCATTTGGCAAGTGTCATAATTGCATTTAAACGTGTCTCGATCAGCCTGCTCGGAAAAGCAGGCAAGATTTCCCACCCTCTCTGCAGTGTTTGCGACGTTGCCCTATTTTCAGCTTATCGAGCAGCCATAAATAATTTATGTCCTTCGCTTCGCAAAATGTGACGCAACGTGCGAATACAATCCCGCGGCATTACGAATTTCGGCCGGGAGACTGTGTACCAAATATGCGATACGCGGCGTATATCGATAGCGCAAACTTACGCAATACTCGACGTAACCAACGACTCGCCGTAATTAAGAAATGATAATTAAATTAAGTCTCGTGTAAAGAATATCCCAACATAGGAACACCTAAATATCTCGGGAGCCTAAATTTGAGGATCTTAAGAACGCTTAAAAAAGATGACCACCAAAAAATTTCCTTTCCACGATATTCCTCCTTCGAAACCATTCAAATATGTATTCTAAACGCATTTCTCGTTGAAAACAAAGGAGATATTTAGGTGATCTCCTTATGCTGAGACCCTGTGTACTCATCACGTCGGGCATGATGATAGGTGTGGAACAGATCAAAAGTCTCCATAACCATCATCTCCGAAGCAGCAGATACACACAACAAGCTAGATCACAACAGAAATTGAATTTCCCGTCTGACCGTTTGTTCGAAATGACATCATCTCGATTCGACAGAACGAATCTGTCGGAAACTTCAACGGTAGAACGAAGCGCGATGCACATCCCGGCTACACATGGCCGATAATATTTTTCCGGGATACATTCAGCATAACACGTCGAAATATCGCACGTTCAACGTGCCCGCGGAATAAATGTACGTTAATTACATATCGTGTAACGCGCTGAAATCGATCGCGTTAAATGCGTGGCCAAGCTTATTAACGAAATTCGAAGCTAATCTACTGCGCGCGTTTGCCGCGCCAGAGGTGCGGCCTGAATACACGAGACTTTGAAGCATTGATATTATCGAACTCGGACAATGCCGTCGGCTACAATGTTAACGCGACCGTTAATAGCGCGCTCTCGCGAATTGCGCCTGCGCTTGCTCGCGTTCTCTCGCACTGCCGGCTCCCACCGGCTTTTACACCTGTCCGTTTATGTATAAATAATGGACAAAAGGCCCGTATATTCTTTTTCATCTTTTTCTTTTGTATTCGGCTGTATGGCCGTTAAAATGGTGATAAGGCTTAATTACGAGTCGCCGTCGAGCACCGTGCGACAGCTCTTCGATGCATCGTGCCTTATCTCCGTCATAAAAAATGCACGGTTCGCTTCCGATATGGTCGTAACTCAGATGGATGTGTCCCAAAGTACCGTTAAAGGCTTTTCGAACGCGCGTTTCCCCTAAAGATCGTTTCCGAGTGTCATTAGGACATTGCCGATAACGTTCTCCGCTGCTTCCTGATGTCGTATCCATCCATAAAGATACCGTGCTCTTTTCTCAGCGCAATTATATTATCGTGGGAGGAAAAAAAACCTGTTTTTACATAAGAATAGTACAAACGACTCGCGTTACGCTGAATATTCATAGTCCGGGAAAGAAATATCTCCGAGGAAAATAAATGCGAAATGCTCGGAGCGTGTTAAGCGCGCATTACGAAATCTTACTCGTCTTCCCGGAGCTTTTCTTCCGCGGCTAAAGAAGCGTCACGTTTGTTTTAGCCGTTGTGCGATTTATCCTTCTCTCTCGCGCGCGCTCTTTCCCCCGCAGCTCCGAGCAAACACAATCAGGCAGAAGGAATCACGTGAAATGAACAGTCGTGTTTCTCTCGAACCGAAGAGCACGTACATTACACGCCGAGCGAGAAGCAACGATGTAACATGGCGTGTGCAATACGGTTCGAGAAACAACAGTCTGCAATCACACTCGACTTCGTTGGCGAGAAGAAATATCGGGTCCGCGCGATACGCGAAATACTTGATATCGTTCAAAGGTTAGCATTTCCATTCCCGCCGCCCTTCCTGTCCGCCTACCCCGTCTTCCGCCGTTTACGCGCTCTCTCCTCGCCGGGCTCCTCGTCGTAAGTGCACAAAAAGACGAGCGGAGGAGGCGAAGGTTGGCGAAGCGACCGGCTGCCGACGTCGCTTGGCCCAGAGAGTGGTAGCCACAGCGACGACCGTCGCACTAAAAACACGGAAATATTTTTACGGAGACGACGGCGTCGGAACTTTTGTTCCTCCTATGCTTCTCTCTCTCTCTCTCTCCCTTTCTCGCGCTGGCTCACTCGCCCACCAGCCTGCTGCCCTGCCCTTTCGCCGGCTTCTCCCACCTCGCGCTTTCGACCCTCGCGCCGTGCCCCCACCTTCGCCCTCTTCCTTCTCCCGCCGCTGGAAGCACCCCACCACCCGGGCGTTCTCGCTCTCCCTCATTCCGTCATATCTCGCGTGCGAGCAGTAGACATGAATCGGCGGACGCTCGAGCGTGTTTTCGTGCGAGTACGCGACTCCAGCGCGCCTCGTATCTGCGATCTACGAGAGAGCCTTTTCTGCTCGTAAGGTTAGAGAAGCGTCGCACCGCGCGCGCGATCGTTGGCGCCGCGCGTCTTACGTTGTAACGCGACGGCCGCTCGTCAGGCAGCGGTTGCTTCCCGACGAACGCCGCTCCGTTCGACGGTGTGTTTTATTTGTGTACGTGCGTGTATGTAGTGACGATCTTCCCAGAGGCGTCAGTCGCGCCACGTCGTGTCAATTCACAACAACGTCGCCGAGCTCTCTCTCCTTCCTTTCCCCTCGTTAGGGACGCTAGCGGCTTCGTTCGCACTCGTTGACACACAGTCGTTGACGTACGCGCGAAACCGAGCGACCCACGTGCCGTACGGCCCTGAGGAGATAATCGCCCCTGTGTTTTCGCGATTTACGGGAGGACCGCGTGCCTACGATAGAGAGACCGGCGGGGAGATACCGCGGAGCCTGGGCTGCTGTCCTCTTCGGTCTCGGCTCTGCGGGAAGACGAAGTGAGCAGAGAAAGGTAGGCACATCGGTGGTTTCTCTTCATCCTCGTCCGGTGCGTCACACCGGCCGTCGCGGCCTCTCCTCTACCTTGACCGCACGATTTTCTCGCGATATCGCGGAGATTCAAAGCGTCGTTCGGTTTACGATCGCCGCTGCCCGATTTCAGATCGCTCCTTTGTTTACCATACATAGACTACATCGTGAAACGCGCTACCCGGTGTCCCTGTGCTCCCCTCCTCCCCGGTAGGGACGCAGCACGATCGTACGAAGCTGCAAGTTTTGCGCGTGATGCGTACGTGGAGAGTTCCTTCTGCCGCGGTACCTCGTGGAAAAATCACATGTGATGTAAACACAGGTCATAACTTTCGCTCTAGTCTGATTTATCGGCTTACTTTCGCCTCATAGTCGCGATCGTAGATACGTGTACAGGATGTTTGATTTCTATCGCGTCGACGATAGTTGATAGATCACCCGGAGCAACTCGCTCGAGCCGGTCGTTTGGTGAAAATTTAACTTATACTAAATATCATGTTCTCCCCCCTTCCCTCCTCTCTCTCTCTCTCTATTACTTTAATGATCTGTCAGATTGGTTGAACAAAATGCATGTCTTGTCGCGTATGCGGTAGATAGCGGAATGCGAAGTCAAGGGATAATTTGTCCGTTCGTCGGTATAACATATGTGGTTTAGTCTACGTGAGATAAGTCCGGTTAAACATCACGTACGGACTACACGAAGATACGGCTTAGACGGTACATAGAAATGACGCGCGGGGAGCTGTACATGGGAGATCTACCGCGTAGATCTAATTATATAGCTCACAATGTACGGCTCCCGGCGCAAATGAAGAAACTCCGCTTTACGCCCAGCCAACGCTAACTCGAAGCGACGCCTGTGGAGGCATGCGTCTCAATCGTTTGCTTACGTAGCGAATCCGAGCCACACGTTGGGCTGTCCACTCGAGAATTTTAGTATCGAGGCTCGCTGTCGGTAGAAAACGTCCGGAACTTTGTCCTTCTCCGATTTCGATGGGCTCGCGTTTTAGCATAGCTCGAAATAAGAGACACGTAACTACAAGTGTGTCCGTGCGGCAAAACGTTAACGAATTGAGATGGACCCCCTGAAATTAACTCGATAATTTATAGGCGTTTCACGCTCTCGCGCGGTGCCCGCTTACGAGAAATTCGTGAATTTACATTTGAAATTCGGAACTCGCTCTAAGTAGGTTGTTTATTGCTACTTTTAAAAACGAGGGAGAGAGAGGGGACTTTATTGAGAACTTTATTCTTGACATCGACGATACGATTCCTATCAGATATCGAAGTTATAAAAGACGGGATAATGTATTTCGCTGTGTGAATGTTGAACTCGTGTACGTTTAAATTTGCGATCAAATTTCAGAGATCAAAACTTCGGCGAGGGATTTTGGATTGAATTAAAAGAGCAAAAAGAATTTATTCGAAAGATTCAAATGCGTAATCACGAAGAGCTACGAGACCTCTCCTCGAAATATCTCGTTTTATTTCACGATATTCGGTCAGAATTAAGTGGATTGGGCGGTCTTCCGCTTTAAAGCTGCAAATAACGCAACACGAACGCAAAAGAACACCCCTCTCTTATTCCGAACTACACCGTAAACATATCTGTGACGCGATACAACCGACGACGAGAGGGGAACAGAGTACGGAACAATTTCTCAACCGGACGTAATTCGAGGTGAAACTCGAAAATCCTTCTCCCGCGGGGAGTTAACTGCAATTATGCGTTCTACCGCGGGGACCTCCGCAATCGAAAGCGCGCCCTCCCGGGGAGAAAATTCCGCGAGCGTGGAAAACGTCCGTTTACATATTCTGCGCGAACGCGAATCATTTATTATTCTCCGCCGTGATACGCGAGACTTTTTCTCTGCATTGTGCATAAATCAATCTGTAGATTTTTAGTTAGTGTAGGTGTTGAACGATTCGCATATTTTATTTCGCTGTTGCTCTTAATGCGGACGAGTGACTAATGATTTCTCGCATATTAGCATACCGAAATATGAATTGCGAGTTTGCTATTTAATTGGATAATTTATCTCGCATTTTGCAATATTAGTCTACATATTTTACTGTAATATGCGTACATTAGTATTAATGTCACGATAACTCGAGTTTATCGTATTTTTCGTTTCATACCGTCGACGCTCCAGCCGATACACGCCTTTAAAACGGCTATTTTTATAAGAATATTGGAATGGACAGTTATTCTTCTCCTTTGTTTTGTTTGTGTGATTCGGGACACACAATTACCACGGTCGAACAAATAACGCGAACGTATAAATAACGGTTCGAGCTGCGGGGGATATCATTTTTACGGATGTAAAACGGATGACGATGTTAAGATATTCCCAACCAAATGACACTTCTCCCCGTTTGCTAATTTTAACGCGGACGTTGCTCTCTTTCGCTAATATTAACGCGACGGATCGATAGGAAGAGTTCTAATTAAGTCCACGGTGGGACTTATCATCCTAACTTTCGCGTCGTTTTCGTATATTAACATCGGCGATTATTCAAACGAGGGAACAACGTTGAAACTCGCCAACTTGGGGGAGACGGCAAACAATATTTTCACGGTGTCTCTTGCGAACAACGGAGATTGGACGACGACGACGGTGATGATGATGATGATGGTTCTCTTGTTTTTCCGCGTTGTATATTTACGCTTATGGCACGCGCGCGTATCGGGGCGAGAAATATCTCACGGGAGATCCATTGAAAAGTTTCCTCTCTTTTTTTCTTTTCCGACAGTGTTATACGACAGTCTGAGAATAAAATACGCCGCGTTCCGAAAATCGTCACCGTAAACTCCGCCGGTTCCGTTATGAATGAGGCCACGTGACGCACGAAATTCGTCGTCAGTGGTGGTGTCTTTAACGCCGTTCCATTAATAGAATCTTCTCGAAATTGAGCCTACGAGAAATGCCTTTCGCCGTGCGACCGCGGCGGAACGTATTATCCCTAACGGCGCTTTGTATTCAAATATGCGCGCATCTCGAACACGAGCATCGAGGATGCTCATGTAGCGCGCGTTCGGAGTAGCGCGTCTCGTCGCAGAGAGCAAGGCTTCGATTAATATTTTATTGGACACGTATATAACCCCCCCCCCCCCC